ACCCCGGCCTCTTTCATCCCATTTGTACCCTGGGCAGGGGGGGGGAGCAAAATCATAGGCGTCCTGGGGGGTTGGGGGCTCGCATCAGCATAACTAGTTTTCCTCCTCCATGTCGATGAGGATGTAGTGGTGTTCCCCAGGTGTTAGTCCTCACGCGTCTGAGCCGCACGTAGGAGTTCCCGGAGGAGGAAGGAGAGGGTGTGAGGGCGGGGACACGGAGGCTCGGCAGCCACGGCCTAGAACAGTCTATCGACACAGCTCGACAGCATCGTTGCGTTGAGCCAGTGGCCCCGAGCACCCCGCTCGGCCTCAACACCGAGACGTGGGGCTCTGATGGGACGCGCTGCTGTGGGCGTGGCTGACACGCCCTGTGCCTCCGTTTCTCTACCTTTAAAAGGGCGAATGGCACACCGGTCCCACGGGGGCTCCTGTGGGGTGAACCCTAGGACACGCGCGGCGCCAGGCACTGGGCCCGGACGGGCAGCGCTCAGCAAGAAGACGCTGCCACCTCGTCACGCGCGAGCTCCGCCACATTCACACCCAGTTTCCACCCACACGCCTTCTCATGAACAAAACGGAGCTCAACTTAGTCAAGTGGCCACAGAAGACTGGTCTGACTCCTAAGTAGAATTTACTTTGCCCTCAGCGAACTTCAAACATTCCCTCCTCTAGAATTTCTTCTCAAATTTTTATCCAATTCGCCAGATCTCTCGGCTTTGGGAGGAGAAAGAGAGGAAAGACCGAGCGACGTGAACTTCAGGTTCGGCTTATCGACCCAAATACAGTGGGGCCTTGACTTACGAGTGTCCCGACTAACGAGTTTTTCAAGATACGAGCCGTCTCTCAGCCGATTTTTTGCTTTGAGTTGCGAGCTAAAATTCGGGTTATGAGCCAGCTTCAGATACCCCGCTAGTTGGCGCAGCGAACGTCACAGTGAACGCCACAACATCAGCCCAGCATCACGTGTCTCACTCGTTCACTTTTGATTTGACATACGAGTAATTTGAGTTACGAGTTCCGTCACAGAACGAATTAAACTCGTAAGTCAAGGCCCCACTGTATAGCACTTCTTGTCCAACCACCAAGAACTCACAAATGATAAGCCAAAAAAATAAAAATAAAAATAAAATAAAACAGAATTCAGCCGCCGTTCCAATGGGCAGTGGGAACAGTCCTTCACCAACCCCTGTACGAAACCTTCCAGAAAGACTCCAAGGCACCGCCAGGCCGCAGAGACGGCCCTGGCCCGCGGGAGAGCCCCGGGAGCCGTACCTGGGGACCAGGCTGTCGCCGCCGCGGAGGGTGGTGGGGTCCAGCTCGAAGATGGAGGAGATGTCGTTGCCCTCCGGCACGGACACCAGGGAGTACACCATCTTCTCCTGGGCGTTGCGCAGCCGGCTGCGGGAGGCGTCCTGGTCGGGGTCCGCCTGAGGAGAGGCCTGGGGTCAGGGCCCTGCGTGCAGACCCCGCTCACCGCAGTGCCCGGGAGAGGGAGCGGCGAGGCGAGCGTGACCTCGACAGGAAAGGCACTGGCGTCATGGCGGTCACACAACACGGGCGCCACATCCACGCCGAGAACAGCCCAGCTCTCCCTTCTGGGGTTGCAACAGAGATGTTTAGACCACGGACGGGGTCACGGCCGACCTGAGGGCAGAGCGCTGCGGGGCCCAGACCGCGCCGGCCGATCCGGCACCAGCGGCCGGCAGAGCGGCCGCCTGAGAAACACGTCCGGGGGCTCTGCGCCAGGCCCTGGTGTGAACTGCGGGGAGACTGCCTCGCAGAGAATGGAGGGAAAATGAAGTAAAGACACCTGGACCCTGCCCAGCCGGCGTGGCTCAGTGGTTGAGCATCGACCTATGAACCAGCAGGTCATGGTTCGATTCCCAGTCAGGGCACATGCCCAGGTTGTGGGCTCCATCCCCAGTAGGGGACGTGCAGGAGGCAGCCGATCAATGATCCTCTCTCATCATTGATGTTTCTCTCTCCCCCGTCCCTCCCTCCCTCCCTTCCTCTCTGAATCAATAAAAAAAATACTTTAAAAAAAAAAGAAACCTGGGCCGAGTGTTGGTGAGCAGTGACCCCAGGGAGGCCAAGACACACACCCGAGGGCCAGGCGGACCCTGGAAAGAATGGTCGTTAGTTGTCAGCCACGGAGGGCCACCCACGACGAAGTGGGGAGGGCCTCTGGCTCCGTCAGCGTCTGGCCGGGACGGAAGAAAAAGGCCAGCGAAGGCCGATGACCGATGACGAAAGCGTCCCCAAGAAGCCAGGCACAGAGCCACCTGCCTCAGAAGGTGCCTGCCCAGCGCCTCCGGCGAGAGGCTGCACAAGGTCGGTCTCGGCGCCGTGAGCTGCGTGGGCTTGTCTGTAATGGTTATGTCGCGCTTGCAGGATGCCCACGTGCGCCTGCATCGACTGGGAGCATTTCTGTCCCTAACTGGCTTGGCTCAGGCGGACGCCTGCTCCTCTCCGAGGTGGGGAGGGAGGGAGGGGGGATGAGGGCAGAGGAGAGCGCCTGGGAGACAGCCCCCTGGGCCTGATGCGGGGACTGCGGGCCACTGTCCGCTTTCTCGGCCCATCTGCAGCCCCCACTCCTGTTTGCAAAAAAGAGAAAAATGCTGCTTTTGTCCCCGAGACCGCTGGGTCCTGCTTCTCTCAAGTCTCTAACGCCGCGTGGGAACCGAGAACAAACCCAGGACTCGCGATTCCACCCGCAGGAGCCTGAGCGGCACGGGAGAGGGAGACTGGCCCTTCCCCAAGCCAGGCTCCCTTCAGGAGAAAGGACTGTGGATCGGCCGCGGCGCCACTTTTCGGGTAAATCCCACCCGATTCTGGTGTAAGACACGGGCGCACTACAGGCCACGGGGCCCTTCAGAGACCGGCCCGGAGTCCCAGGAAAACGCAAGGCTGTCAGTCCCTGTGTCTGCGAACGGGCTGGGGCAGCCTCATTCTCCGTGTGCGGTCGGCGGTCGCCCCCTAGTGGGAGGACAAGCACACTGCAGAAGGCCCTCAGAGGCAGGCCGGCCTCGGGGGTCCTTTTTCTCCCCTGGCATCGAGCCTGTGCCCCGAGTGTAGAAGGTTGAGAGCAAGTGACAAAGCAGAGGGCGGTCCCAGGCAGAAGCACAGGCCTGAGGCCAGAGTGAGGAAACACGGGAGCAGAACACGAGGCTTCCTCCCCCCACGTGACCACCTGTTTCCCTGCCCGGAGAGCGGGAAGGCTGCCGGGCCTGCCAACGCCAACGTGCAGAGCGAGCCCCACGCCAGAGCCCGGGAGCCATGTCCCAGGCCTGCACCCGGCCCGCCGCCACCTGGGGAGCAAGACAGAGGGGAGAGGCCCGCACTCTGGGAGGAGCCAAGACGCGGACGAGCCAGGACCGCTATCTGCGTCCTCATCGGCCACATGCCACCGAGAGGGCGGCCCTAACACTTCCACACGTGCCAGCTCCCAGCGGGACTGGAGGACAGGTGAGCTAAGATTCGAATGTTCCTATAACTTACGAAGCGGCCGTTTCCTGAGAACTCCCTAAGGCCCTCCATCCGCACAGCCCGCGCCTGGTCCTTACGGCAAGTGCCCTCGCACAGCTGCGGACGAGGGAGTGAAGGCTCAGAGAGGGAAAGCAGGGGTCCCGAGTCACACAGCGTCTGAGCGCTGGGCCCGCTATCTGAACGCTCCGTCACCGCCTTACTTTCCGTCACACACTCCAGGTCCACCTGCACATCAGACCTCGCTGCACGACACCCAGTGACCTCCGGGGACCGCACGCTGTCCCCTCGACGGCAGCACAAAGACCGGGAACGCGCGTCGGGACTGATGGGCAAAACCGCCTCCAGAGCAAGGTCCAGCCGGCGTCAAGATTCCTGCCCACGTCCTAAAGTCCACTCCTGACTCTGCAGAAGCGAGAACCCGTGGCCAGACAAGGGGGTCTGCGCAGATGGCGGCTTTAACTCCACAGAGTAAGTGACACCGCCCGCCCCGCACACGCACTCCTTGGAAATTCTGGATGAGTGACAGGTCAAGGTCAACAGCACCAGGATGTTTGTTTGTAAAAGGCCGCTGTCTACAGGGGCCGTCACCTCTGCAGCCTAGGAGTCTTCCCAGAGCCATCGGAAACTGCCCGACTCACAGTGGAGACCCTCTGAGTAAGCACGCGAGGAGCATCATGACGGAGTCTCGTGAACCAATCAGGACGCGGGAGGCATGACTGCCCTCAAGGGAAGCACAGACAAGACCCTCCTCGGAGGCGGCCAGAGGCGTCCCCGTGTCCCCAGCACCCGGCACAATGGTAGTTCCTTCAATGGGGGCAGGACACGTGGCCTCGCCCTACCAGGCGAGGAGAGAGGCGCTGGCCCATACTTACTGGGGGCTGAAACTCCAGGCATTCTTCCTCAAAGTCAGGGTCTACCTGATGGGAAAGAATCATCGGGAAATTAAAACACCCGCCGATTTCTCACGGGCTCTGCCCCCACTCGTGGGAGACGCCAAGGCCTGCGGGCGTCGCTCAGCAGCTGAGGACGAGTCCCTTCCCTCTGTTCACGAAACCAGCATGCCACAACGACACACGTCACAGGAGCACACCAGGCCACAGGTGCACGACACGCCACAGGTGCACGACACGCACGGACAACCTCCCGCCACCGACGGCCGGCACTCGGGCACGGACAGCAGAGCAGGAACTCGCTAGCAGAACAGCCGTGAGGAGCCCGAGACACGGGCAGACCAGCTGGTCCGGTCACAGACCAGCCCGCTCACTGTACTGAGAACTAAGACGTCTGCGGGCTCAGGAGGCACACGCGCCTCAGAACATGGCGAGCCCCGTGGTTTCGGCCGAGCCGGGGAACCGCCCGAGGCTCCGTGTCAATTTAGTCTGGTCCTCAGCGCTCACATATTTCAAAGCCACCAGTTCGTACGCGTGTCGGGCTCCCAGGGGGCTGGGTGCGTGAGATTCGGGCTTCCCCGGTCAGCTGTGGGCCAGGCTCCCCGAGAATCTCTGAGCAGCCCCTCCGCTGGCCCTGGGCAGCGAGGTGTCGTCTGATGTACGCCTGGGCCCTGATGCCAACATGCATCCTACAGGTTGCGGCAGATCAGAGTGAAACTCGACATCTGTCACCCGGGAGGATGGCAGGCCCCTTGGCACAGAAATTAAGAGGTAAACTCTTGCCCTTGGACAGTGAGTCTTGCCTTTCTTCCAACACCCTTCCCAGCCATGTCTCCGACGTTGGCTTCTCGCGAGCAGAAGATGAGGTCCTGCCTACGCCACGAATGCTCTGAGAGCCAGGTGCTCACGGAGCTAACTGTGCCGCACTGCTGCCGGCTCCCCGTGCCGGGCGTCAGGACAGTGTGCCCTGGTCATTCCCGTCAGGAGCGGGCGGAAGCGGGAGATGTGGGGAGAGCGGCGTGAATGAGCAAAACGGAACAACAGTCCTACACCCAGACTACCGTGTTTTTTTGTTTTTGTTTTTTAAATCTACTCTCGTAGCAGCTGTCAAATATTCAGCGCAGCATGACCACTGCAGTCACCACGCTGTCCCTCACATCCCCAGGACGGCACTGCCTTCTGGCTAACGTTCTCCCCACATCTCGGTGGAAATCGGTGTGAAGTCCTCGGCGTGTAACCGCCCTTCGTTACCTTTTCTTGTCTGTACGCAGGGGAAGGAGGCAGAGGAAACAGAAGCAGGACGAGGAGCGAGGTGTCTGCAGGACCTAAGCCCTCGGCGGCCCAGTGCCCGGGTGGGGCGGACGGGGGCGGCGTCCGCCTGGAAGGAGGAAGCCCGCTGCCACTCACCTCTGCGGCCAGGTAGTGCCCGGTGGCCAGGTGCTTGAACCGGAAGAGGCTGTTCCAGTACCCGGCGCCTCCCCGACACGGGTCGTGCTGGACCACCTGGGAGAGGGGGAGGTGGTCAGGGTGCGAGAGGTGTCAGCCACGCCAGGACATCGCACACAAATCACAGTCCAGCCGAGACATGGACCAGCTGACACACCCAGACAGACACACGGAAACGCTAGCAGTACATCTCCCGGGACCCCACGTCTACCGGCCAAGGGAGCGGCTGCAGCGAAGAGATCAGTGGTTTTGAGGGTTTGCTT